CACTCCCCCACTTCCTTGTCACTCCTCCACTTCCCTACCACTCCTCCACTTCCTTATCACTCCCCCACTTCCTTGTCACTCCCCCACTTCCCTACCACTCCCCCACTTCCCTACCACTCCCCCACTTCCTTGTCACTCCCCCACTTCCCTACCACTCCCCCACTTCCTTGTCACTGCCCCACCTTCTTTTCCTGTCTCGCGCCACTGCTTCCCACACTCACTCCATAAATTATTCCCCACAAATTTATGGCCTGGATCAGGCGGTGTAATTGTTCCTGCTTCCTCAGGCAGGAGGAGCTGGTGCCTCCTGTGCTCCCTCCGCCTTAGACACTCCCTCTTAATGTGCCTCGTCTTCCAACTACCATCAACCTATCCAACTATTTTTCATCTTTGTCTCTACTTAAATTTTCTTTTACACAAATTGTTTTCCACAACCTTTGTTCAAGAGTCAAAGGTCATACATCTGGTCAAGTCTTTCTATCTATTATTAATAAAAATTTACTCGGGAATAGGTTTTTTTTTCCTCCTCAACCACTTGGGCTAGAAGGTAGAGCGACAGTTTCGCTTTATGCAGGTCGGCGTTCAATCCCCGACCATCCACAAGTGGTTTGGTACCATTCCTTCCCCCCGTCCCAACCCAAATCCTTATCCTGACTTCTTCCCAGTGCTATATAGTCGTAATGGCTTAGGCGATTTTCCCCTGATAATTCCCCCATTCCTCCGATTACCAGGAACCAAATGAACTTTACAAATGTCCACACATTCAACAATTCCGTTTTACTCCATACCGTTCATTGTTGTTGTTTTCTAACACCCCTACTGAGATAGTCCATAACTGATACGTTAACTAGGCCTACTTCCCAGTTGTTACTCTATTAATTAAGCTTACCTCCCAGTAGCTGCTATAATAACTAGGCCTACCTCCCAGTAGCTGACATAATAACTAAGCCTACCTCCCAGTAGCTGCCATAATAACTAAGCCTACCTCCCAGTAGCTGCTATAATAACTAAGCCTACCTCCCAGTAGCTGCCATAATAACTAAGCCTACCTCCCAGTAGCTGCCATAATAACTAAGCCTACCTCCCAGTAGCTGCCATAATAACTAAGCCTACCTCCCAGTAGCTGCCATAATAACTAAGCCTACCTCCCAGTAGCTGCTATAATAACTAAGCCTACCTCCCTGTAGCTGCCATAATAACTAAGCCTACCTCCCAGTAGCTGCCATAATAACTAAGCCTACCTCCCAGTAGCTGCTATAATAACTAAGCCTACCTCCCAGTAGCTGCCATAATAACTAAGCCTACCTCCCAGTAGCTGCTATAATAACTAAGCCTACCTCCCAGTAGCTGCCATAATAACTAAGCCTACCTCCCAGTAGCTGCTATAATAACTAAGCCTACCTCCCAGTAGCTGCCATAATAACTAAGCCTACCTCCCAGTAGCTGCCATAATAACTAAGCCTACCTCCCAGTAGCTGCTATAATAACTAAGCCTACCTCCCAGTAGCTGCCATAATAACTAAGCCTACCTCCCTGTAGCTGACATAATAACTATGCCTACCTCCCTGTAGATGCCATAGCTAGGCCTAGCTCTCCATCCAGCGCCAACAACCCGGATCTCTCTGTCTCAGAAGCTCTGGGGTGATTTATTCCTTGGGTGCAGCCAAGTGATGAACCCCCACTCAGCCAGCCCTCCAGTCCTCTCCCTCATGTCGCTACCTCGTTATGTATGCTACAAATAACTACTGTTTATCGTTCTACCAGTAATATGGTAATTTATTATATAACGGTTCGTAACTAGAGCTTCGTCCGATGAGGTACAAGGCACTTTACATGTGGCACGAAGCACCCTTAAGTAACGGTGTCGTATGTAAAGTTACCACACACACACACATCTGTTGTTCTTGTGGAGAACAAGAAGCAGCGTGAAGCACACGCTGCTTCTTAACCAGTTAGTTATTATTATTATTATTATTATTATTATTATTATTATTATTATTATTATTATTTACATCTTTATTGACAAAATCAATTACAATTTTGCCTAATCTGAGGATTTCGATTAGGGCTTATTAAAGTGAGGATAATGCTGGTATTATTATTTGTATTTGTAGTACGTGGGTGAAGCATTTATAAAGTTGGGGTTTGAACTAAATTCGTCAGTGACGCACTTGTTCCGGAAGTGTTCGAACGTCACCAGTTGTGAGTCGTGTGTAAACCGTTTTTTCATTCATAAACAGGGGGTTTGGCAGGTGCATGTAATCCCTTTTGGGTCTTTGTTTGAAGGACGGGCTGAACGTTGTGGTTCGAACAAAAGTCATAACCGAAGTACTGCCCGAGAAGTATTCGAACATCAGTTGTGAGTCGTGTGTGAAACGTTCTCTATTCATAAACAAGGGATTGGCGGGTGCATGGAATGGACTTTGGTCTTTGTTTATGTTGGCGGGCTGTGTGAGGCGGAGCACGTGAGGCGGAGCACGTGAGGCGAAGCACGTGAGGCGAAGCACGTTGAGAGCCCATACTACAGCCCGTCCTCCAAACAAAGATCCAAAAGTGATTCTATGCACCCGCCAAACCCCCTGTTTATGAATGAAAAGCAGTTTACACACGACTCACAACTCATTTCGTTCGAACACTTCCGGAACAAATGTTTCACAAACGAATTTTATTCGAACCACAACGCTGTAAATGCTTCACCCACGTACTACAAATACAAATAATCGCCAACAGAACCCAACCACCTAACCTAACCTAACCTATGCCTATATATAAACAATATGCTAATATATCATAATATTAATTTATATTTGAGAAAATTCCTGTTTTAAATGAACAGCATGTTAAAATTTATGAATGCGTCTGTGGGGTCGACCGCTGGTTGTAATGGACTTGAGTCGAGGACGGGTTGCATACTATCAACATCAACGGCGTAACACTTAAACACACTCCCTCTACACATAAGGGGCATAACTGGCTGACCTCTTACGGCGTTCAAAAGAGAACTTTATAAAACACCTTTAAAGGTTATCTGATCAACCAGGCTGTGATTCACACGTTAGGTTGCAAGCAACTGGATCTAACAGCCTGGTTGACCAGACCACCAACCAGGAGGGTGAGGGGACCTACCATCAGGCAGGTGAGGGAAGGGGGGGTGATACCTCCCCCCCCCCCACCGACTACTCTTCTTCCGATTCAAATGGTAATAATAATAATAATAGTTTTATACTGCTACAAAATAAGACATTTTAATAAATACAAATATTAATATATAAATAAAAAAGTAGCACAAATCATGCTTAAACAGTGAACTGAGTCTGTTTGTGTCTGCTTAGGGTGCAAAAATAAACATATTTCACGCAGAACGAGAAGCCAAGTAATACTAAACCTGAGAACCAAAAGCTTTAAACTGACTCGATAGCAGCCGATACAGAACACTTTGGGCCCACCCCGCCCTTACTACTACTCCTTGCTGCTGCCCCCCACATCGCTCTCCTCCTTCTCCTCCTCCTCCTCCTCCTCCTCCTCCTTCTCCTCCTCCTCCTCCTCCTCCTCCTCCTCCTCCTCCTCCTCCTCCTCCTCCTCCTCTGAAGAGAGCCAGATCATCGCTTCCTCTTCTTTCTCCATTTTCCTTCCTCCTTCCTCTCCCCGCTTTCCTGACCCTCTCCACCGGCTCCAGGCCTTCCTAAACCACCAGAGTAAATCTACGGGAGTGGCACCAACCATTCTCCGGGGAACCAACATGTCTCTGGCTCGCATTTTGCCGGAAACTCAGCAAATTAGTTCTAATACTCTTACCCTTTACTGCTATGTTATTTACTTATTAGTCCTACAAATATTTATTAAGCCTTAACAACACTACAGCTGTGGGAATGATAGACATTATAACATAGGCTGTATAGCCAGAGGGATGAACACATATTTACATCTAAGTAATAATGTACAAGTGTGATGAATTCTAGAAGAAAGTATGAGTATGAGATAGATTTCTGGAATGGAATTATTAGGGGAAAGCACCAAGCCATTACGACTATATAGCACTTGGAAGGGATCAGGATAAGGATTTGGGATGGGACGGGGGGTGGAAGGGATGCAAGCAGCTATATATATTACAATATTGCAACAAAATGTCTAACACAAAAATCAGCTTACCTGGGTACCCGAATGTAGTCAAAATAGAGCCTTGAGACGGGCTCTGGTTGGTTGCCTCGCCTCTGACGAGCCGGGCTGCGGACCAATCCGCAGCCGCAGGTAACAGGCTCCTCGTGCATCTGCTGTCTTCCATACATGTCGGGTCCACCAAGCTCCTCGATCACTCTCCCTCTCTCTCTATATATATATATATTTATTTTTATTTTTTCTGTTCACATTTTCTTGATAGTTTCTAAAATTTTCAGTGCACTTTGAAATTAATACTACACATAACTTGCCTTTATCTTCATTTTTTTGTAAATAATTATATAATTAAAAATAACAAGTATCCCTGTAAAAGAAATATATATTTAATTTAATATATATTAGTACAAAATAAACATTTGTTTAAATAGCATGAAGATCTACGTATAGATGATGAGTTTCAATGATTTTAGGTGTGAATAGAAATAGCCCCTAGAAGTGTCACGCGGTAATTTACACTGGTTGATGGTTGATTGGTTGATGGTTGATGGTTGACTAATATCTTTTTTGTCTGTATTGCAGTGTATTGTATTATTGTTGATGGATTCAGCGTCACGCGGCCGAGCTCCCGCTAAGGAAGTGTCCCCCACTCCAACTGTCAGCCACTATCAGGAACGAACAATACTCGCGCCTAATACCTTTATCCCAAACTCTCAAACTTGTCAATAACACCCATTTCGCACCTACCTTTCCCTTGACCACCCACACCCCCCCTAACACCCCTTACATTGGAGCTGACAGTCCCTATCCCCTCCCTAACTCCCCTCCCACGCCCCTACCCCTTCCCTCCACCCCCAAACACCAATCCCCCCCCCCCCCCACATATCCAAACCTCAACCATGACAAATCTCCTGCAATACCAGGCCGATCCGCGGCAAAGGTGGAGCAAGCTCCTAGCACTTCGCCATGTTTCAAAAATCAGTTTAATATCGAGGATCCCACATGGGGATCGTATCAGATATTAAGCTGATAAGCACAGATATCTCCTCCCCTTCGTGCCCCTCTGGTAATCCCCCACCTCACATGCCCTCTCTACAGCCTCTTTCCTGGTGTACACGTCCACCAACTTGTGACAGCCTTTCACTTCATGGGCTGGTCACAGCTGGAAGATAACTCACAGCTCGGGTTTGTGTTGGTGAGAGCAGCGGGCGCTACACAGCCCGGGGGGTAAAAGATCACGTGGTAGGGAGACTCAGACAAGTACTTGTGACCAACATTTTTCCCGTTACAAAAATGTTTCGAGCTTTATTAACTAAATATCCTGCACTTTATAAAAAAAACTTTAAACATTAAGGTTGTTCTAAAAAAAATTCTAATAAAATTAGCTCTCTAATAATAATAAATTTAAAGATAAAATCCACAGGAGCCGTGATGAGGGTTCGAATCTATGCTCGGAGGTGTTCCCAGATGCACGCTCTAGTCAGCCATTAGTCTAGTGACTAGAGCGTACATCTTGGCAGCACCCAGAGCCTAGGTTCGAACCCTCATCACGGCTCCTGTGGGGTTTCTCATTGATACACCAAGATAATGTGATTTCTCTGTGTAACTAAATTTAAAAACACGTTTCCCTGCCCAACCACTTGGTCTGGACGGTAGAGCGACGGTCCCACTTCATGCAGGTCGGCGTTCAATCCCCCGACCGTCCAAGTGGTTGGGCACCATTCCTTTCCCCTCGTCCCATCCCAAATCCTTATCCTGATCCCTTCCAAGTGCTATATAGTCGCAATGGCACTTCGCACAGTCGCGCTTCCCCCCCTGATAATTCCCTTCCCTTCCACTGATAAACACTGATAGAATGATAGTGATAAACACTTCCACTGATAAACACTGATAGAATGATAGTGATAAACACTTCCACTGATAGACTTCCCTAAACATCCTCCCACTCTACAATCCCCCATCCCACACCTCCACTAAAAAGTTTCATAAACACATACTCATTATTAAACTTGAAAAATATCTTCCCACTTCCTGCAGGCGGCGTCATGCGGGTTGAGAACTCGTAAGCTATAACTAATCCACCACCTGTGTGATAGATCGTACAAGGGCGATATCACCTATTTAACTAACCATAGGAGTTAAATAGGTGATATCTAATTAAGATAGCTGCCTAAGTCGTCGATTTACCTGCCGAAATTGCCAGTTTTAACTGAGGGATACTGCAGTGTACACCACAACCCTGGCGGTTACCTTGCGATGATTTCGGGGCTCAATGTGCCCGCGGCCCGGTCCTCGACCAGGCCTCCTGGTTGCTGGACTGCTCAACCAGGCTGTTGGACGCGGCTGCTCGCAGCCTGACGTATGAATCACAACCTGGTTGATCAGGTACTCTTTATCCAGTGGTGTATACTGTATTTGATTGTTGCCTAATTTATTGTGCATCCCATACTCATCCTGTGAGCAGTAGTTTACTGTGCACCCCATACTCATCCTGTGAGCGGTAGTTTACTGTGCACCCCATACTCATCCTGTGAGCGGTAGTTTACTGTGCACCCCATACTCATCCTGTGAGCGGTAGTTTACTGTGCACCCCATACTCATCCTGTGAGCAGTAGTTTATTGTGCACCCCATACTCATCCTGTGAGCGGTAGTTTATTGTGCACCCCATACTCATCCTGTGAGCAGTAGTTTATTGTGCACCCCATACTCATCCTGTGAGCGGTAGCGCAAAAGCATTACAGAGAGCACAAAAGGTCTTTATCAGACCTCATCTTAGATTATTACATAAACAATTTCCTCTATCCTTCACACCTTATAGTTATAATGTCAGCTAGTTACAGAGATAATGTCAGCTAGTTACAGAGATAATGTCAGCTAGTTACAGAGATAATGTCAGCTAGTTACAGAGATAATGTCAGCTAGTTACAGAGATAATGTCAGCTAGTTACAGAGATAATGTCAGCTAGTTACAGAGATAATGTCAGCTAGTTACAGAGATAATGTCAGCTAGTTACAGAGATAATGTCAGCTAGTTACAGAGAAAGTGCTATTTCAAGAGTTGTGTAAAATCCTGGTTTGTGCCTCGGAGAGGCTACGGGATCCAGTAAGTTCAGTAGAACTTCGGTTTCAACTCTTTTTACCCTGTCGTAGCTCAGTCGATTAAGGCAGTGTCTGTAATGCTCCCGGACGCAGGTTCGAACCCTCGTCACGGCCCTTGTGGATTTGTTCATGGTTAGGTAAACTCTGTTAGACAAGGCCTGTTAGGTAGGTCTGTGTTCCTTGACCCCTTACACTGTTAGGCAAGTAAGGTGTTGAGGAAGCTAACTGCTTACTATTAAATAAGCAGTTAGGTAAGGACTGTTAGGTAGGTCTGTGTTCCTCGGACGTCTTACCTACAATCTTAGGTAGGACAATTGAGGGAACCTGTTACAAGCCAACGGTTTCCTATCCCCCGTCGAGGCCACCACTGGAGATTTTGGCCCCCTCGGGTAAATTCAGGTAAGCTCTGTTAGGTAAATATTGATAGGTAGGAGGGTCAATGGTCCACGGACCGCTCCCTCTACGGTAATTAACCACTTTTCCGCTGAGCCTTTCCGGTCCCCGCATGTGTGTGTGTGTGTCTCCTGATGTTCAGTAGTACCCGAGGCTTTCCCCTCATACCTGGCTCTCTACCTGTGACACGTACACCTGGTTCTCTACCTGCGTCACTCTCACACCTGGCTCTGTACCTACGACACTCTCACACCTGACTCTGTACCTGAGACACTCTCACCTGGCTCTGTACCTGCGTCACTCTCACACCTGGCTCTGTACCTGCATCACTCACACACCTGGCTCTGTACCTGCGTCACTCTCACACCTGGCTCTATCTGCCTCACTCACACACCTGGCTCTGTACCTGCAACACACACATACACACATACTCTGTACCTGCGACACTCTCACACCTGGCTCTGTACCTGCGACACTCTCACACCTGGCTCTGTACCTGCGACACTCTCACACCTGGCTCTGTACCTGCGACACTCTCACACCTGGCTCTGTACCTGCGACACTCTCACACCTATCTGAGGGGACTCTCCCTCACACCTGGCTGTAAATCAGGACCACATAAACACCACCTGTAAACACGTTTACAGAACACAACTGACGGTAGGATCATAAATTTTGTCTTCAGAAACACAAGTTAGAACTTAAGGGTAAGTCTCTGTTAGAACTCTACTCTACAACTACTCTACTTGGGAAGCCGGTCGGCCGAGTGGACAGCACACTGGACTTGTGATCCTGTGGTCCTGGATCCCAGGCGCCGGCGAGAAACAATGGGCAAAGTTTCTTTCACGCTATGCCCCTGTTACCTAGCAGTAAAATAGGTACCTGGGTGTTAGTCAGCTGTCACGGGCTGCTTCCTGGGGGTGGAGGCCTGGTCGAGGACCGGGCCGCGGGGACACTAAAGCCCCGAAATCATCTCAAGATAACCTCAAGATAACCAAGATACACGTGGCTGTAGTCTGCCAGCCGTTCACGGGATAACTTGAGCATAGTTAACGAGCTCACAGCCTGCCATCCTTAACGTTGATATGATATAATGTGGGGAGGTATACGCACCTGAGGGTGTTTAAGGTTAATTAGCACTGACCTGTGTGAGCGATATACACACACTAGCGCTGAGAATATGAGCGATATACCTCTCGGGTATTATGGGGTTTTGTAGTGCAGTGGTCTGCGTCTTTAAGTCACACTCAAGGATGGCGAACTCGACCCCCCCCCCCCCGGGCGGGAGAGAAATGGATGGGCATGTTTCCTCTCACCTGCTTCTTCTCTTCCATCAAACAATATATATATTTACTATATAGGAATCCCGGAGTTAGTCAACTGTTGTGGATTGCATCGTGAGGAAGGTCAGTAGTTGCCCTTAGTCCTGAAACTCCCTCAATATATACACATAACACTACTAACCCTGAGAAATACATACACAAGAGCTGAGTGACACTTATATAAGTCCATATGCACTATGATACTTATATAAGTCCATGAACACTACGACACCTTCCCAAGCGCACTACGACACCTTCCCATGCGGACTTCGACACTTTAACACACCCCAGTAGTCCTGTTGTCACTTGACCACACACACTAGTACCGACACCTGGACACACACATTTATCGAGCGACAACTGATCACACACACTACCACACTGCAGGCAACAGGAACAGGAAGCGTAACAGGAAATCACATGTATAGGGGGAAAGTATCCCTACACACCGGCAGAGGACGCTCTCGATATTTACACTTTGCTTCAACCCTTGTCTCTACATTACTCCGACCGGCGAGGGAGCCGGTCGGCCGAGCGGACAGCACACTGGACTTGTGATCCTGTGGTCCTAGGTTCGATCTCAGGCGCCGGCGAGAAACAATGGGCAGAGTTTCTTTCACCCTATGCCCCTGTTACCTAGCAGTAAAATAGGTACCTGGGTGTTAGTCACCTGTCACGGGTTGCTTCCTGGGGGTGGAGGCCTGGTCGAGGACCGGGCCGCGGGGACACTAAAGCCCCGAAATCATCTCAAGATAACCTCCAGATATAATAATCTGTCTCTGGAATACATTCCCCTAATTTTGTGCTTTGAGATGTATTTTTATAATATAATTATATTCTTTGTATAGAAATATGGTTAAAAGGGACGCTCTTATACAGGAATATGATGTTTCATATTTAAAATGAAAATTTTAATGATGTTTTCAAATGAAGTTTCTATTCGGTTCAGCTGAAAATGAAATTTATATACAGTATAGCACAATATGACAACTTTTGTCAAGACAACTAGATGTGTGTTGCCCACGTAACTGTAATGTTACCAGAACATATATTACCAGCATCACCATCATTTGTATCACCACTATTATTGTCACTGTCATCCTCATTTGTGTTTGAGACACTTCACAATCACTCAAAGAGATTCGCTGTAATAAGATCACTCGTGTGAGACCTTAATCACTGGCATGTCCCATGATGTGGTGAAGGCGACGCAGACGCAGACGGGTGCTGGCAGACTCCGACACGCCCGCAGACAG